TTATTTCCAAGTCTCGCGAATAATTGTTATGAATTTGATCACCGTTCATTCTCTCCTCCAAGTCGATCTTTAAATTTTCTTTTCTGCAAAAAAAAAAAAAATAAATAAATAAACAGATGAAAAACAAAAGTAAAAAAAATAGAAAAGAAAAAATCGGGAAGGAATTACATCGAATTGCCACTCTGATTTTCTTTCTTCTTCTCCCCCCTCTCCCTCCCTTCCTGAATTAATTTTCTTTCGACCAAGTTCCTCCTGTTGAGAATTCATTTACATGTAATCTCGGAACAGTTGATTGTATCTATAATTGGAGAACGAACACCGAGAACCGATGCTAGCAAAGTTTGTTTTAATATTAATTTCTTATCGTTGATCTTGGCCGACGAGGACGAAAATATGCCGGTCTCACCCTCACCATGTTGCGCAAACATACATAGGAGAAACTAGTTGGTCGAATATCTTGCGATCTCTACGAAGCGGGAAGGTGTAAGTACCGTGTTAGTCTTTGGGGTTACGTTGCTACTTGCAGAGCTAACTAATAGCCTCTTAGCCTTGGCTTAGAGAGGATCATGCTGCACCAGCCGCACCCTCCATTCCTCTAAGACTCGAGCCGCACATCCTCAACCCTTGGTGCAATCCTTAAGCCACGGGCAGGCCTGCAAACAACCGATTTCCTCCCGCTCCTCTGTAGCGCAGACGATGGATTAAGGATAATGATCGATTGGATTCCACTTTATTTTCCCCCAACCGGCATATCGAGCGATCTAATCCCAAACGATTCCAAACCCACGTCTCTCCGAGTCGCTCTCTCGAGCGGAAATTTTCGCGTTATTACTTTCGATTTAATTTTCTTTTATTTATTTTTTATTTTTTTCTTTTTGCAAATTGAATTCCCGCTTTTCGTATCGAATCAGAGGGCACGATGATAAAAGAGTTAGAAATTCGAGGCAGTGGTTCGAATTAGCAACAGCTTGATTAAACAAGGCCGGCCTCGTTTTCATTCTCATAAAGAAACCGGGAATATTGGACGTAATAAATTCTCGCTCGAGACGCAACACAGATTTTCATCCTCCACGGTTATTCGTTTATTCCCGGTTTGCTGCGTTTCCCCCGTACAAATGAACCTGTTACCGAACGGTTTGCGCGAAATTTACATTCGCCCCGGAGAGAAAGGTGAAACAGACCGAAGGAGAGAGATTTCTACCGTTATAGTTCAGCCAACGGAGCCGCCTCCGTCTCCGCTTCTTCCCCATGAGCAGATTTTCAACGAAAGCTCAATCGGTGGATTTGCGGTAACTGTTCGCTCTGTATGCATTCGCGTATTTCTCAAATCCCTTGCGGATAGCGGGACCGTTTCCTTTTCGTTCGCGTAGATATAGTCCGCGTAAATATGCGTGCAATATGTGTGTATACGTTGGTGCACACGTTGGTGTAAGCGGTACACAACAAAAATTTACAAATACCAACATATTACTAGAGAAGATCCATTTATTCGATACGTGTGCGCCTGTATACCTGCATACATGCGCGCAATTATATAAACGATACCCGTGTAAATACGGAATAGAGAAATACAGCTCGATGTAAAAAATACGAGGAGAACGATATCATGATGCGAACGATGCACGCGAGTATGTGTGTGTGTGTGTGTGACGTGTGCAGTTTCCGTGAAACGTTAGTGCGGCTTCCGTGAAAAATCGTGCACGGAACCCCAATTGGGCGTGACTGAGTCTAATTTATTTAGTAGCGCAAAGGAGAGACAAGGTTCCGGCGCGGCTCGACGTGGTTGCGCCATTGTATCGGCAGCTTTTCAACGCTTTGAAATATCGTCGTCCTTGTGTGCGAGCTTGTTCGATCCTACGCCGTTCTATGCGATGCCCACGAGCTCGAATTAATTCCACCGAAGGAACGATTGTCCGATAACTGTTGTCTCGGGTGGGTTTATTCGAGGGTGGGAAGGGATTCGATCGTGGAAAAATAAATTCCAAGACCTCCTCGATGAACTTTACCGCGAAGTGGAACTTTACCGTTCCACTTTGGAATTCCGTTGTTTTTCTTTTTCTTTTTATTTTTCTCCATTTTTTTCTCTCGAACTTACGTTCGAACGTAAAAATTCCTGGCAGACGGATGAATGGATACGATTATTCGCAATTCCACGAGGACAATAGCGACACGTGAAGGGGGCAGGTTTAGGTATTGAGAATATTTCGACAAGGGTGGTAAGGGAGCAGATGCCACGTTGCGCGACACGCTTTCTGAATACAAAACGCGAATCTCGCGTATAGTCGGTCACCGAATCTACTTCGGAGGGTTGGTTTACAGGACAAGGAGGCAATAATCCGGGGAATGGGAATGTTTCGACCAATATTGCGAAAGTTTCAGCCGTACCACTCGGATCGACTCGTGGTTGAAGTTCACCCCGATACCCTTCTTCTTTTTCTCTCTGTCCCACGGTTGACATATGAATGAAAGGGGGGGAAAAAAAGGAATGCCACTCGATGCTCGATGGGATTCCACGCTCATTTCGACGTTGATTGATGACTCCACGAGATTTCAAGAGAATTTTTACCGCATACGCGAGAATAGATAGTCGTTGACGCGAGTTTGCAAATTTTCAAATTGTACCAGATTGAAACGATCGGCAATTTACACGGTGCATATAAAACGATATAAAACGAAACGTTCCCTCGATCGAAGAACTATGATAATTCCGTGTAAAGGGTGTTTTCGTTGTAACATTTTTGCTATCGGTTCATCATTACGATCGATCTGTGCGCCCGGATAGAGATCGTATCGGTTTAAACCGGTGTTCGCCGCTTTTACTTCCCATTGCTAACGGCACGCATGTGTGACGTTTAATCACGCGAGATCATTGGGCACGTAATCGGTTGTAAACGGCCCCTGATGATGGGTAAGCTCGTTCCCGAAGACGATGCGAACTCAAGATGATCGTGAAAGCTCGTTTAACGGGCTGTTTAATAGCCAGATAACGCGATCACATCAGAGGAAACGTACTCAGGGTGGCTCCTTTGTGGCCGTTCTGAAACCATTGGTGCCAGAAATTACAACCTACAAAATGACGTTATACCATCGAAGGATGGTAATTTGATCAAGATCACGTTTACACCATCGATCGATTTTATTCTTCCTTTTTTTTTTTTTCCTCCTCTTCCACTTTTCCCATCGAAGAATCAAAAACTTGCTATTCTTGCAAAAAATCGAAGCTTATATCGCGGTTCAACGAGAGAATATAGAACGCGTACAATATAATTTTAAAATACGTCATGGAACAACATTTTCCTGTAGAAGATTGTAGAAGCGTGTCGGATATCATTTAATCGAATTGTCCACGATTTCATAGAAGCAGGCTCGCCAACGCTGCTTTTTCCACGCTTTTTATCCCCCGCACAATTTTCACAATTCCCAGTCCCTTTTATTACGGTCGTCGCGTGACAGAGTTTTTTTTTTAAAATCGAGGATACTCGTATCCGAGGATATCAGATAGACCGCAGTCGGTGCAAAATGGCCGGTGAAAAAGTCTTGTCAGGTATAAGCGCGACCGCCGAATCCTACGGTAGGTGCGACCCAACCAGGCAGATGCCCACGAAGATCCTCGTCGACGTGTAACTACGTATGTAGAGTAACGTAATCGCCATCGTGGCCGGTAATATCCGTGGTTGGCCGTAAAGGGAGTTCGTAAACGGCTGCTACGGCTTCCCGCTTCTTCCCCTGTATCTCATTCCTCCGCGGGAATGACTATTCGAAACGTGTGGAACGCCGGTGTACCCGATGGAAAACGAGGCGAAACGGAGAATGAATATAGACTTTGCTTCGCTACTATTCGTACGTGCCGACGTATCCGCGATAGCTTTTATCCGAGTAAGCCGTTTCCTTTTAACCTAAAATGCCGATTAAACTCGCCGCGGTTTGATCCGACAAATACACGATCATTATGTTGCGTTTCGTATACGCGATAATTGTAAGTAAGGAATACGTTTCGACGAGTTAAATAGCGATTAAAGGCGTAACCTTTCTAGAGAATGATTGAATCGATGGAAATTTTTAAATGTTGAAAGTAGCTTGATTAATGTAACGACTTTCTTTTAAAATTTAAATAAAATTCGAGTTCTTTCATCTTTCGTTGTGATCGCTGAAGAATAATTGAATCACGAATATTTTGTGTAATGTAAACAAGTTGATTATGTGTAGCTTTAAGTTAAATTGAGTTCAAGTAACGAAACTCGGAGTATCGAATCAGTTTTAAATGAAGATATGACGTTGGAGAATGTTGTTACAGTTCGTACTGCTAGGTGGTTACATTTGGCGTGGTTCTGGTTCGTAAGCTCTGATACATGGCGGCTCGAGATAATTAGCAGCAAGCTTGATAGCGTTTCTCCGCGATGCTCGTCAAGAGACACGCTTAATTGTGAATCATCAGGAGTGGATGCATCGTGGTATTAGCGCGGCGTTTAAAGGGACGGATTTCCTCTACGTTTGTCGTGGATCTTTGCGGGTTTCTGGCCGCGGATGCGCCACTTTAATTAGCTTTTCTTTCAACCGATGGTTTATCCTCGTCTATCCACCACCGACGATCCTTTAGCTCAGCCGAGGATTCGAAGAGTCGCGTAATTGACACGCGAAATTGTCTCACGTGTTTGGCCACCGGTTTATTTACTCCAAAACTTTCGAGCGTTCGTGGGAGTTCCAGGCATCGAGTTGCCGACAAACCAAATGGAACTTCTCCCAGTCAGCAAACTCGAAAAGCAAAGCTTGCGACATCTGAAGTCTTAATGGATATTTTGACAGGATAATTACCGCGTGGTAATGAGTTTCGTTATATTATTCTCTTTTTTTTCACGAATATCGCGAAGAAACGCTACGAAAAAATGGAAGAAAAAAAATTATGAATATCTTATTAATTCGAAAGAATTTTAATTGATTATTCATTGAGAAAATTTATTCGTAGTGTATAATTTTTGAATTTATTTAAATATATCCATTCATTTTACGATCTCTCTATTTCTTCATTCGAATATGCAGAGACATATCATTAGTTTTTTTTACTCGATCCTGAAAATGCAAGCGAGGAAATTAATATTTTATAACGGTCAGCTGAAGGGAATGAAAAAGTGCCATCAAATTGTAACTACCATAAAATATCAAGATTCAAACCATAGAGCCAGATTACGATACACGGTAATTATCTATTTTATTTTTATTAATTGTGTGTAACATCCGTATCCGATGTTATCCGAATGGCTGCAAAAATAAAAACATGCACGCATTGAATAATCGTTTAAGCTCCAGAAATTTTCTATAAACATCATAAATAATAATTACCTAATTATTCGCGTGAAGTTCGCATCTTGAATGGATGAACAAGAATGAGCTTTTTCTGCTAGCAAAAACAGGAGAAAGAAGAAGAACATTCGTAAAACTGTTTAAGCACGTTTTCGTTTAAAATTACAACCTTAAAGAAGGTAAATTACATAACATAGTCGAGGCACAATTGCAGAGCATGTTTAATGAATCGTGCTCCAACTAACAACGAGGTAATCATTTGCGATGAAGTTGTGTTTTTTACGGACTGTTCTGTTTTTTAGAGGGATATACCGAAGACTTAACAGTTATGAGTCAATTAGAGCATAAATATTCGCGGCTCGTTTATGCTAACATTCTGTTTTTAAAAATAAAAATAAACAAATTTTTTAAAAGATAATATATACATCATTATAATTGTGTAATTTAATGTATCGGTTACACGCACTCTAAATATCAGAATATTTATTCTATCCGGTCTTTTGCATCAGAAATGAATAATAGGCATTCCAGTTGAATTATTCATACTTGGTTAATCGTACAAAAGAATTTATTATATTTATATTATGTTCAATCGTATTTTTAATTTCTAATCAATTGTGTAATCATTTATTTGTTATTTTTCTTATATCAAACTGTTAATAGTCAGCTTATTAAAATGAATAAGATGTATGTATTTTCCTTAATCGAAATATTCAAACTTTAATGTACCACGATATGCCAATGATATACTATGTTACCATATTAAGCTTGCATAACCCGCCAAAAGAAAGCAAAACACTCGCGCCCTCTGCCCCGAAATCTTATTCGGTTCATGGAACGTGATCGGGAAGTGGACACATATAAAACTGTGTCGTGTTTGGCGGCGATGATGTCGTTATCTATAACCAACATAAAGCCGGTAGTATCGTCGCAGCTGTCTATTCGTAAACACGATCGCGTGTGTGGTAAGACGATATACGAACAAAAGAGACCAGACCAGTTGAGTTATTCGACACTTTACGCAGGTGAAACGCGATCGGATAAAGTAGCGGGATCTATGGATCGATCCGTAAATCTGAATCGTATTTGACGTAGTCGATAGTGAAAGGTAAGCATCTCGTTTCGATCAGTCCCGATTCTGGTTTGCGTGGCGCAACAATTTTTCTTTTCTCTCGGTGTGAACAGGAATCGTGTGCCGGCTCATAGAGTTAGTCGTTAGATTGTCCGTGTAAACCGTGTGCGAGTGTGTATGTGTCTGTACAGTGTAGAGCACGCGTGATACTTGTCCCTTCGTCGCAGAACAACGACATAACGATGGAGCATGAAAACGATACGAGGGTGAGGTTAAGAAGAACGAAAAGCGAAACAAGGGCCGAGGAGATACAAAAGGCAGAACAGATGGTGCGCAAATCTCAACCTGATAAACCGTGAGTATTTGTTTTGTAACACACAGCACGCTCCGTTTTTTTTTCACACGAGCGTAATCGACTCAACGACTCGGCTTCTATACTGCATACGATTCACGAACGCACTCTGTTGTTTCCTCGACGATCAACAAAACTGTCGGTAATAGGAAACGGTCGAAAAGATAAAATTGGTCGACGACGAGAACACAGTGACACAAAATTTTCAGGCTTCGTGAGCTGCTCTGACGTAACAGACGGCTTTATGAAGTAATACGCATGCGCATTTCACTTTCAGATCGAGCGCAACTGGGAACGCGTGATCCCCTCCTCGCGACGATGAATTCTTCGTCTCGTTTTAGTACATGTTCTTCTATACCGTTCTGTCACGTGTTATAATCGATGCGATGGTCAGTCGGTACTGTGGCGCACGGAAATTTTCTACAGCTCGTTTCATAACACCTTTTTTAATAATCTTTACGAAGTTAACGAATCTTCGTATAAGTATCTTAAAGATTCAAGTTTTATTAATAAAAATATATTTCTTATTTGATATAATCTTTAAGCTTTATGCTTATGAAAATATTTATTTTTCACAAAAATGTTATATCATAAAAGCGAGAGATTTATTATACTAAAAATTTGATTCTATAGTTGAAACATTTAGGTTTGTTACTTAAATTTTTAGACTTCGTAGATTTAATATATCTTATTATTGAAAATTATTATTGAATATATATTATTAAAAATCGATAAGTCGAGATTTTATCGCCCGAATAACATGGAATAGGGGCAAGGTACAAAGTCAGTCTCATCATGACTATCCGATTTTATTTCTTGATTTAATTCAATTGCGCATACGAAAAATATAATAATATCTCGGAGTGTATATTCTAATAATTGAACGTGAATTTTAACACATCTTAATAAACTAAAATTATCAGTTGAAACCACGGCAAACTGAGGTGCGGTTCTATGAAATGACTAACGTTACGGTAAATATTTGCAGTGACGTGGCTGATTTCCGAAATGAAGCTAGAAATGGAAATGAATGGTGTAAAGTTCATTCAGTAGAACGGACACGAGGACAGACAATTGAATGCAATTCTTGAGTGCACGTCGTGGAAACGAAAACTTTCTTAACGAGCCGTTCGGCCCCCTCTAATGGAACTGCACGTCAAGAAAACACGGCTAAGATAATTCGTTCCTTAGCTATGGCATAATTATTGAGTTTCACTCTTCTTCTCGGCACACGATGTATAACGCCAATCCTTCCCAATTTCTTCGCAATGGCGAAACTTATCTCGATGCAAGGCCCGCGATAACCGACAATGATATTCAAGGTTCATACTTGAAAATAATGAGAATGTCGGATAAAGTCATTTAAAGTTTTAAGCGAAGCGAATGACAATTAACTGTTCCAACTTTGCGATCAATACAATATCTTTAGACGTTAGGAATAAATAACGAACACATCAAGGAGCGTTGATCAACTCGTCGCTTCTACACGGTTTTTTTTTTCTTGTTTCTTGTATTTTCTAATAAATCAAACCTTGTCCGATCCGTATCGGATGAATCTTAATTGCGTGTCAATACTTCAGACCCCTGGTTTTTGAGTTTTAACGAATTGAAGAAAATGTTAAAGTGACATTTTTAGTCATTCTCGTTTAGTCATCCTCGTTTTTAGTCATCCTCTTCCTTTTCATCATTTAAATGAAAAATATCGAATTATCATTATTTGCTTTTTTATTTGCTTTTTACACGGGTAATTAGTAATTCATTTCTTTTTTTGTAAGAAGTTAAGGAATTTTTTTTTCTTCTAAATAATAATTTTATCTAACGATATATCGTTTTGCATATTTAGTCGTACATCCTTTTTTTATATACTTTTTTTTTTTTAATTTTTTACATACAATTGTAAGTATGCAATTATATCTTGTACGTGTATATTGCACATCGTAAAGAGAAACGCAGAAAATATTTTAGATGGCAGCTTAAGGTCGTTAATAATCCTGAAATAATGCTTGCTTTTCTTTGTTCTAAAGATTGTATATATACGGATTTCTATCATGTTTAACCGATAACGTTGTTAGTTTATGCACTGAATTGTCTTAAGATATATTTGCACGCTATTAGATTAGAGTTTGCTGATATATAAATAGCAATATATCAGGCTTAATCGGGGCTCGCTTCGGTTACATAAACAGAACGTTGTCCGTGTGTTAAGTTGATGGTATTTTATTGCGAAGCGTAGCATTAGCATACACACGTAAATTTAACCACGGTATTTGTTATCCTATTCGTTAGGATTAATTTCATCGAAAAAAAAAAAAAAAAAATCGATATAATCGAAACAATAAGTATTACCATTTTCGTTAAACTATATATGTAATCTTTGTCGTTACAACTTGCAAATTATTTATTTTCTAATGTTATCTTACGAATATAGCAAGCAATATGGCGTCAAACAAAATTCCAACCTTCATTTAATAAGCGTCAAACGGAAGTTATTGACACGTAGAATGGGAATAGGACAATAACTTCGTTTGATATCAAATGTTATGACGCTTGTTCCAGAATGCACTCGCAAACGGATTCTATTAATTAACCAATCAAACGCTCAAAAACCACGCGCTTGCTCGAATCACACAGAATCATGTACACAGCTTTAGGTAACACGAATCGGAACAACATGTTGCATATTCTCTTTGTGACAATTACAGAATAATTCTGATAGGCATGCTTGTAACAAACCACATATCTTTGTTCGCTGTAATTAATAATCTGTCACCTGCTTTTACACGTGAGAAACTTGCATTAATTAATCGATTTTTGTCTTTTGTCTTTAATATAGTAACAGATATCGAATCGGATAAACAATGGATCTTCGAATTGTAATTATCTACATAATACCGCGGCCGAAGTTCAAGGCGTGGAACGAGTGGATCTTTTAAATGAGAGGAATTAATTAAAACGTGATCCGATTTAACAAGCGTTATACTATAGATTCGATAATATGATTATTCGATACGTTAATTTATATCTCTTTTCTCCAAGATTTTTCTTAACATTTTTAGAATAGTTTCGTGCCAATGTATTTTACTCTAGCATGGTCTTAATTAAAATGTTAATTTTATTTGACGAGATAGAAAAACGTGTGACGATAGAAAAAAATGGTGGACGTGTATGATTATCTGGTATATCGGGGAAATACTTTCGTACGCATTTGCGCGAGCATTGAAGAATGATAAATTCACGATTGGTTTATGGAGGTATCCAATTCAAAACGTAGATATCGCGAAACCAAGTGCGTTTCTGCAATCGGAATCGCTAATCAAAGAATCCTGGTAGCGTTTTCTGGTAAAATAGCGTGGAAAAGCTAACTCTCGTTAATATTTCTCCGTAAACAAAAAGGGAGGGTCGACGGGCTGGAGAATCCGGAGCAGTGGGCAAATTCCATTTGTTCAGATTTATGAAGTTTCGCGCGCGCATGCGGCTTTAATATCTATCCGCCGTGGAAAAAAATTTAATCAAGTCCCCTGGTCTAATCGAGCGCGCGATCAAAAATTAATGCGTTAAAAACAGGATTAAATCTGGAGAAGTATTACGAGTAAAAAAAAAAAAAAAAAANTTGACGTATTTCTAGTAAAAAAAAAAAAAAAAAAAAAAAAAAAAACTAAAGATTACGGGGTTTTTCGTTAGGATTTTAGAGGCGGGGCAGGATCAAGGAGAATGATGTTGCAAATAGCATTTCGTGAAAAAAAGAAAGAAAAGAGAAGGGAAAGAGAAAGAGAGCGAGAGAGAAAAACAAAAATAAACGTAACCACTTGGCGCAGTGGTCATTTCGTGCAAGCAAACGTTAATTAGCCAGACGAGACAAACACTGGTCGTGGGTTGATGATGCCAGAGGCACTTTATTTCAGAACATATCCTTCCGGCAAGCTCTGTTTTATTAGCGAGAGGGGTCAGCTAGCGAAAAAACAGCGAAATCTTGTCCCCCCTTTGACATGTTATAATGACCTGCAAACAAGAATCCGCTTTTTTTTTTTTCCATTCCACCTTTCCTCTCCAGGAAGGAACACTTTTTCTATCTTCAGTTGTTTCCTCTCCCCATCTTCGCGCCCCTCCGTTTTCTTCTACCGAGGGATCGTCCATTATGCCGGAGAATCAGAGATGGCACACCACTCCTCCGTCTCTTAAACAAACGAACCCTACTGTATTTACCCGTTCCGTGTTTGCCAGATACTTCTTGTTTTCGCCAACTTTGCAATTAGGCGCGAAGCGCGTCTGGGTTCGTTGGACGCGGTGAATATCGAATGATCCTACCTTATCCACCCCTTTTGGTCGAAGGAACTCGCACGGAAAGCTATGTCTACCTCGTACGATCTTTCAATCCCAGATTGATTTTAAAGTTTCCGTTTACACGATCGCTCGACTCCGACGAACAGCCCGCGCTCTCTCTCGCCCTGTTTACTCCCAAATTGAATCTAATTCTCCACGACTTTCCCTCCCGGAATGAACACCAAACGGAGCACCAAAAATCCTGTCCATAATATATTCATCCAATCTTCTTTTCGCCGGGTGGAGGGGGAAAAAGTTTGTTATTTTCACCGGTGACACGGTGATTTGTAATTACGCGTTACACGTAATTACGCGTTAGACGTCCGTCGTCGGGGAATGTGATTAACGTCCGTTACCAACATTTTTTCCAATATCTCTGTCTGCACCCTGAAATGACGCGCTCAAGGGCAATAATGATCCGGTAATATGAAATCGAACGAGAGACGGGTAACAACGATATCCCAGCTTTTTCTTCTCCATTTTTCCCCTCTCCCCATATATCGATCCCTCCTCGAGTATTATCAGTCTCCGAGTATTATCAGTCTCACGAGCCATCCTTGCTCCATGGATGGATAATATTTCCGCAACAGATTCTAACCGTTGGACTGTTCTCGGCCAGTTCCCAAGCTCGATATTCGAATCGCTAGTAATTTCGTACGAATGTATTATACGAGGGTGTAGGA